TGCGAACCAGTCAAGATACAAAGCTGAAACTTAGCAAGGATATTCTTTATGAACGTGCGAGCTAAAGCTTTAAAGTCAATTGTCGCACACGCGTGTGCAGCGCGTACGCCACGTCAAAGTTTTCGATTTGGCACTAAACTAACTCGAAAGCTTGCCGAAAAAAGCGGCTGAAATTTTGTCAGGATGTTTGTTTCCCATGTAGGGAATAGTATACCTAAAATGAATACCGATTTGCACTTGCGCCACGACTTAGAGCAATTCCAAAATATTTTTAGCGAAGTGGATATTCCACTTACCGGATAAGCTACAATATTTTACTTCGCTGGGATATTTTACTTTTAAATGCGGTCTTAATTCTGCCAGGAGGAGGAATTCCCTCCAGGTAGGTGTGAGAAATACTCAACTTTACCGAAAAATCAGAAACGAGTGCGCTTTGCAGCGAACGACCGCCCTCACCCAAATATGTAAATGAACATTAGTTAATCTGCATACATGGATTTTTTGGCAAACGACCGCTTGAGCAATAATTACACATTTTAGTGAACTGGAAATTTGCATTTTTTCGAAAAATTTACATTTGTCATTTCTTCACAAACCGAGCGTTTGCCGAAAAAACAACGAAATTCATGTAAAAAACTGATAATCATGTGCCTCGTGATCTATGCAACCCTATAATGCAATACCTTCATCCCAACCGACGTTCTTTCTCCTACATGCCGGAAGTAGTTAAAGCATAGTGTATCTAGAAATGCAACAGCAGCACATCGCAGGTGTTTTTGCTGTTCCAGATGCACGTAATAGTCTTAGGCCCCAGAAGGAGGAGAAAAGCTAGAAAAGCTGAAATCACCCCCTCACTCCCCTCCCCCGTCTCAGCTCTCGCGACTTGCACACGGCTTACCGCGTCACATCCAGCCAGCACTCTTCACAGCGGTGACCATGTTAAAGCCGAAAAAACGAATACAACCGCGCTGGCGTGCACAGCAAATGTAAATGTGACCGCGTGGAAGAAACGCAGTGATCAACCGAGCACTACCCTGCAGCACGTTGCCCATGCATGCATGCATCATCATCCATCAATCGTTGCACGCATGCCCTACATATAAGGAATAAGTCGGGATATTCCCCGATATTTTGAATGCCGAGAATTTATCGCACATACAACTGCTTGTATACATAAAGCTCATAAACCTCTTGTGCGCAACTGATTTTTTTTTTTTTAAATTAATCCAAACTAAGAACTCGGGCTTTACTGTACCTAGCGCTGTCCAGAGTTACATCACTTTCCAGGCTGTACGTAATTGGCACATCCACCACGCCTCGCCAGCTGCGAGTTGAACTGAGGCGACAGGAGCGCTGCTTACTTCAGCCCCACTTCAAACTTCTTCGAACAGAATATACAATCTGTCCAGACTGTATATCACAATATGCAGAGCTCTGCAAAGCACCGCGGCCAGATAGAGAATGACGCCATCTACACAGCAAGCGACGCCATACTCCTCGGAGAGACTTGGGCAATGCACGCAGATGAAATCAACATCAGCGGTTACAAGACAGTTGCACGTGTTGACTGTACGAGGCAGGCGAGAAGAGCCTGCGGAGCATGCTACTTGCTATCGCAGCGACTGCTGAGTGATGTCCGCGACCCAGCCTACATAAGAATTGGAGAAAATGAGGACTGGGTAGATGCAGCTGTTTTGAAACTACGTCATGTGCTCATTGCAGGAGCATACGCAAATCCCAGAGTAACAGTCGGCACCATTCGATCGTTTCTAGAGAGATGTTCTGCGGAAGAGGAGCCGAAACTAATACTGGGTGATTTTAATCACAACATTATTGAAGCAGCAAATTCCCGGTTTAAGGAGACGGTGGAAGGATTTGGGCTAAAAATTTGGAATGTAAATGTGCCCAATGAAAATATAACCCTTGACCTGGTTGTAAGCAATTTCAGTATAAGTCACGGTACATATGTCTCACTGACTAGCTTTCGTCAGCCCATTTGGGACAGATATGACGTATAAAATGATTAAGGTATAGACAGCAGCAAAACAGCAATCGCAACCGGCAGCCTAGATCGGATTCTTACGATTCGTAGCGGAAGAACAAAAATACTCACTGGGAAACCACTACACATACGCATCACATCAAATGAAGCCATCTTTATGGTAACTTGAATTTGCAATGACCAGTAACGCAGATAATGCGCATGTGATCTACTAATGTGATCTAATAATGATGTTTAAGGGAAAAGTGAAGTAAATAAAAGATAATAAGGCCAACGCGAGCAAAAATCGTGTTAACGC